AACCCTGGGAACTACCAACCTGTCAGCCTCACCTCTGTGCCTGGGAAGATCATAGAACAGACAGTCCTAGAAGCTATGTTCAGGCACATGGAGGACAGGGAGATTATATGAGACAGCCAGCATGGCTTTTCCAAGGGCAAGTCTTTCCTGACCAACCTAGTGGCTTTCTATGATGGAGTGGCTATATCAGTGGACAAGGGAAGATCTACTGATGTCATCTATGTGGACTTCTGTGAGGCCTTTGACAGGGTTCTCCACAACTTCCTTCTCTCTAAATAGGAGACATATGGATTTGATGGGTGGACTATTTGGTGGATAAGGAATTGGCTGGACGGTTGCATCCAGAGGGTAGTGGTCAATGGCTCGATGTCTGGATGGAGATCAGTGACGAATGGTGTCCCTCAGGGGTCCATATTAGGACCAGTACAGTTTAATAACTCCATCAATGACACAGACAGTGGGATCGAGTGCACCCTCAGCAAGTTTATAGATGGCGCCAAGCTGAGTGATGCAGTTGACACACCAGAGGGACAGGATGCCATCCAGAGGGACCTGGACAAGCTTGAGAAGTGGGCCTATGTGAACCTCATGGAGGTTCAACAAGGTCAAGTGCAAGGTCCTTCACCTGAATTGGGGCAACCCCCAGTATCAGTGCAGGCTGGAGGTTGAAGGGATTGAGAGTATCCCTGTAGAGAAGGACTTGGGGGATAAAAAGCTGGACATAAGCCTGCATTGTGTGCTTGCAGCCAGGAAAGCCAACCATATCCTGGGCTGCATCAAGAGCAGCGTGGCCAGTAGGTTGAAGGAGGTGATTCTGCCCCTCTGCCTGGCTCTGGTGAGACCCCATTGGCAGTACTGTGTCCAGCTCTGGAGTTCTCAGCACAGGAAAGACATGGACCTGTTGGAGTGAGCCCAGAGGAGGGCCACAAAAATTATCAGAGGGATGGAACACTTCTCCTATGAGGACAGGCTGAGAGTTGGGATTGTTCAGCCTGGAGAAGAGAAGGCTCCAGGGAAACCTTATTGCAGCCTTCCAGTACTTAAAGGGGGCTTATAAGAAAGATGGGGACAGACTTTTTAGTAGGGCCTTTTGCAATAGGACAAGGGGTAGTGTGTTTAAAGTGAAAGAGGGTAGATTCAGACTAGATATAAGGAAGACATTTTTTACAATGAGGTGGTGAGACACTGGAACAGATGCCACATCTTTGGAAGGTTCAGGATCAATTTGGACCAAGCTCTATGCAACCTGATCTAGTTGAAGATGTCCCTGCTCATAGCAGAAGGGGTTGGACTAGATGATCTTTAAAGGTAACTTCCAACTGAAACTATCTTATGATTCTAGGATTTCTGTACTGTTACCCAAATGAAGTAGGAGACTGGGAAAAGCCAGCGTGGATTTACCAAAGGCCTATCATGTCCGACTAACCTGATCACTTTCTACAAGAAAAAAATAACATTTTTCTACTGACATGAGGACAGAAGCAGTAGATGTTGTTTACCTGGACTTCAGAAAAGTGTTTGACAGTTTCCCATAACCTTCTCCTGGACAAACTGACAAGATTGTGGTGGTCTTTGAGATGGATAGGAAATTGGCTAACAGGCTGCACTCTGCACGTGGTGGTCAAAGGTTTTAGGCTGACAGCCTGTCACAAGTGGAGTTCCCTGGGGATTGATACTGGGTCTCATGCTGTTCCACATCTTCCTAAATGATCTGGGTGGTGGTCTTGAAAGCACCCTCACCATGTTTCCTGATGACACTAAACTGGGTAGTGAGGTGGACACATCAGAAGGGAGAGCCATCCCACAGAGTGCCCTGGACAGGCTGGAAGAGTGGGCTAGCAAGAATAGTATGAAGCTTAACAAAGACAAGTGCAAAGTCCTGCACCTAGGACGAAATAACCAAAGAACCCAGTACATGCCAGCATCTGTGTGGCTGGGGAATAGCCTTACTGAAGGGCACCTGGGGATCCTGGTGGACAAGAAGCTGAAATTGAGTCACCAGTGCACTGCTACAGCAGCAAAGGCAGGTCAAATCCTGGGCTGTATCTGCAGGGGTATTACTAGCAGAGATAGAGGTGCGATCTTCCCACTCTACTCAGTGCTTGTGAGGCTGCACTTGGAGAACTGTGTCTAGTTCTGGTCCCCACAATTCAAGTTAGACATGGACAGATGGGAGAGGGACCAAAGAAAGGCCACGAAGATGATCAAAGGGCTGGAGGACCTGCCCTATTAGGAAAGACTGAAAGAGTTAAATGTTTTCTCCCCAGAGAAGAGAAGGCTTAGGGGGAACTTCATCACAGTATTCCAGTACTTAAAGGGCAGTTATAAAGAGGACAGAGGCTCTCCCTTCACAAGGAGCCACATAAAGAAAACAAGGGACAACAAGTCCAAGTTGCACTGAGAGAGGTTCATCTTGATATAAGAAATAATTTTTTATAGTGAGAACAATCATTCGCTAGAACAAACTTCCCAGGGGTGTGGTAGAGTCCCCATCACTAGACATTTTCAGTGTGCAGATGGACAGGGCATGAGGTAAGCTCTTTCCTATGAAAGATTGGACCAGATGATCTTTCAATGACCCTTCCAACCAGGGCTGTTCTATGATGGTTGTATGGTGAAGTGCAGGTGTGGTGGTGCATTTTCCCCTCAACCTTGCTGAGCTGCTCGGCATTTGGTATGATTACACCTCCCTCTTGGGCCACATACCAACCTAGGTTGGTATAGATCGCAAATGGCAGAGGAGCAGAGCTTTAAGGCAGCCCCTTGACATGCCTGGATCCTGATCTTCCTATCACTTGGGAGCAGCAATAGCAGTCCATCACCTCCTGACAGCCTGGTACAGCTGTCCCTGGGACATGACAAAGGGAGGGAAGTAAGAGAACTACACATCCAGCAAGTTCTGGGCCAGCACAGCTGGTGGAAAACATCGGAATATTTAATCACTTGAGTTGGGCTAGAGTGGAAAAGTACCTGATGAAAGTCAGTTATCTTGGACTGTATAAATAGCAACCCTAAGCGAGACCCTTGAGCTCTCCTGGATCACAGTGAGCCTGTGACCAGCATCTCCCCACTCTGGGACACCTCTCAGGTATTAACTCCTTGAGGTACTGTCTGCTGTCAAAGTCAACAGGAGGCCATGGCAAAGTCAACCCGCCCGAGTCTCTATCGCTCGTTGAGGAATGCCAATGCATTACGAGTACTTACTCTAAACTTGAGAAGAGGGAAATTTTAACTGTAGGCTAGCTTCTCTTTCACCCACCTCTTTACTGTCTATGTGTTTGGGTATAGACAGTTGTTTTTATGGGTGTGGGTAAATGTATATTGCACTGGATACAAATATTTTTGTCTGACTGTGTGTTTGTACATCTTGTGTTTATGAATATACATATATACGTGTGTGTGTATATATATATATATGTACTTAGAATACCTTATAGTAAATTAGTGTGATTCTTGTAATTTTCAAATCTGTAGTTAAGGCACTATTTTAATCATAACATATTTTACTGAATTATTTTGTAAATCCTTAAGTTGGTTAAGTGCTGCTAGTCATTAATAAATCTTGATTTGCTGCTAAATCATTTCTGTGCTAATACGTCCATCTGTGACAGCAGGTTAGTGCACATTGCCTAGGTTCTTCTCCAACATGGCCCACCTTTAACTCTGCAATCTTGTTGCAGAGCTATGGGATCACAGAGACGTGGTGCGGTAGCTTACAGAAGTACTGTAGTGGGCGGAGCCAGGCTGTTTAGGAAAGACAGGCTGGGAAGGCAAGGAAGGAGAATTGCCCTTTCTGTGAGAGAACAGCTGGGATTCATGGAGCTCTGCTTTGGGCTGTACGATGAGCCAGGTGATAGCCTCTGAGTCAGGATTAGAGCAGATCAGCCTGGGTGACAGTGTGGTGGGTGGCTACTACAGATCACTTGATCAGGAAGAAGAAGCAGCCGAGGCCTTCTTCAGACACCTGGAAGAAGCCCCATGTTCACTGGCCCTGGTCCTCATGGTGCATTTGAACCATGACAAAAATATGATGCGCTGGACTTCAAGAGAGCAAAATTTGGGCTCACTGGGAATCTGATTGGAAGAATCCCATGGGCTGTGGTGCTGGACAGAGGGGTCTAGGACTCTGCATCAGAAAGCAAAGCTGCTTTCTGGCCAGTCTGTCTTCCTTTTTCCTGTGGTCAAGTTCTGAGTTGTTTGTTCTTTTTTGTGTGCTCCTCTCCCAGATCTGAGAATGGAGATGGGAGCAAGAGTGTGTTTGTATCTGATGGATCCTGGAGATCACAGGCAGAAGCCCATGAAGTGGTGGAGTAGCTGAAGTGATTGATTGAGCTCTTGTTGCTGGTTCATCCTTGTTTCCCAGGATTTCAGGTGCCCTTTCTTAGGTGTAGACAGAGGCTTCTGGCCCTCTGGTAGGGAAGGTCTCAGAGTCTCTCACACCCACCTGCCACATCTCAGGGACAGCAGCTATGCTTGGGACTGGATCTGGCAGTCTCCTGGCAGAGACTTGCAGCATGTAGTGTTGCAGTATCCTTTCACAGGACTCCAGCACATTGCTTTATCTTTCCAGACGTGAGTCGCCAGCTCTGCAGACCCCTCTGGGAACCAGCTCTCCCTGGAAGTGCTCTCTCCAGAAGCTGCAGACACAGCCGCCTATTTCTGCAGCACCAGAGAGCTGGAAAAGGGCACAGTGCTTGACACACCGGCAGGGCCAGGGCAGACCTGGAAGCAAGGAAGCTAAATCCAGCCAGCTCTGCTTGCCAATAAAAGCCATAGACATAGCCTCTTGTAAATGTATGATGAAATCAGGTGGATATGCTGGGAGCTAGGCTTAGAGTGAGCTGTTCCCAAAAAAGGAAATTGTGTTAAAATACAAATGGAGATTTTTGGGGGGTCAAGAATAATTATGCCAGAAGGGCCAGGATAGTTTATTCTGGAAAGAAGCAGGGTAGACCTTTCAACAGGGGCTGAAGGAATTCAAGCAACTATGCATGTGTAAGGCACGCCTGCCAGTTGCCCTCCAAAACATACCTTAATTGGCCTAGGACACTCTTCTAGGGGAAGGGGGAGCTCTCTCCTCATTTCCTCTGAAGCAGAACTCAAGGAGAATTCTTCAATATCACATAGTGGAACACAGATAGCCTAAACATTCTCTCTAACATGCATCACTGACAGTATTGGAGCGCCTCCTGCTATCTTTTGGAGTGGATGCACCAGGACAGAGAGAAAAAACAAAGGCAGAACTTAACTTTTAAACCAAACAAATCCAAGCGTGTGGCTTGTGGGAGGCTGTGAAGACAGGTGTGTTTCTGTGGCTAGAAGCTTCTTCTGTGGAAGAAGGCTGTTTAACTGCATTTGCAATCTCAGTGACAAGCAGTGTGCAGTCTCCCTGCTCTGGGAAGATTTGCAGCAAGCGAAGGGTGTGGGAGAGGCACTTGTATGTACCCAGGCCTGTTGCATGAGGTCTTTAGAGCTTGTGTTCTTTGTCCTGCTAGTCTGTTCAAGAGACTGAAAGTATCACATCAGCCAAATTGACAACTTTCCTGGAGGAGTAAGGCAATAAGGAGAAAACAATTTGACACAAAACAGGGAACAGCACATGAGCATGCCCATGATAATGATGGAATATATAGCAGCATTGGTATTAAAAACAGTGATTAAAAATGAGAAATACACGTTGGTAACAACAATAATGCAAATAAACCTGTTGAGTAAAACAGCATGGAACCACACAGATTTGTGAATAAGATGAAATAATGCTATTTCCTTTTGTGTCTTAGAGCTGGATTTGAGGATTCAGAAAATGCTCCACAATTCCAGGTAATCATTAATCAAAATAATTAAAATAAGATAAAAATCTAATTAAAAGCCAACTTTAGTCAACCATAACTAAATATTCCTCACCTTTGAACTCATCTAAAGATACATATGAATAAATCAACAGTCCAAAGCTTAGCCAACTCAGTGGTCAAATAATCTAGTTGATGAGATCAAAGAAACTGAGAAAAAAATGATGCACATATTCAGGAAAAAACTCCATAAAAATAGCACTCAAACAAGAAATATTAAAAATCAAACACATGAGTAAATAATCAACTTTAGCATATCATGGGAAACACAGTCATTAAACCACCATCATATAAACCAAAGTAACGTTTGAACAAATTATAAAAATGATTTTTTTTTTTTATTTGACGTGAAAATAGGCTTTGAGAACATAAATACTTGAAGGTCAAGAAAGAGTTAGGAAATATAGAATGAAACTAAACCAAAAATTAATAAGACTGGGACGTCTCGTCCTCAGATATCCTTTAAAATATTTCACCCTAACTTTTCTGATATTTGTTAAAAGGCAAATCAGTAATTGGATCCTTTAGGTGGGAACAGCTCTAACAACTGAAAAGAAACAATGTTCCTTTTTGACACATATGGGCAATATTTTAGTGAGAGATTAATACTACCCCATCTATGTGCCAAAAAAACCCCAATGTTGTTAAAGTTATTTTTAGTGTATAGCAACCTCTCTGGAACAGTATTAGATTGTTCAGAAGTAGAAGAGTGTAGAGGAAAAGGAAAGTAAACCCCAGCTCTTCAAAGGACATAAAAGAAGAGACATCACCTGGAACTGAAAAACACAAATGTTTATGTAGAACTGTCTACCACTGTGTGAACTACGTACCACAGTGATTGAAAAGACTAAACCACTGCACACAAATTGTCTCACTCACTGACTTCTCTTGAAGGTAGAAACATAGTGCCCTATTTCATCTGTTTTTCCTCAGACAACTGTATGCACATACATAAATTTTATTCCCAGAATGACACAGGCAGCAGAAAGACCTTTCTGTGGAAGACCAGTTTCCTCAACATTCATCATCAGATCTTGGATCTTGCCAGCATGTCATTTTAGACATCTGATTGTCAGCTCAAGTCGAGCAAGTGGGGATTAACCTACTCTATTTAGATGTTTCCATTTAAGCATAACATTATGTTCTTGTTGTCTCAGAGGACAGAGGAGGTAAGATTTGTTCACACATTTTTGGTAAGAACAAAGATCCTTTTAACTTCATATCCAACAGTGGCCAAAAGCAAATGCATAAAGTACAAGAACAGGAGACTAGAAAAGATACTTCTCACTAGTAACTACCAGGTACTAGATATCAGGACTTTGAATCACTATATGGTTCCTTTGTATTTACCATTTGTGAGTTTATTCAGGAGCCCCTTGTTATTCATTCTGGCTTTCTACCACCTTTGCTTGACTTTCTGCTTGTCAGGATGACCCATTCTTGAGCTTGAAGGAGCTAATCTCTGAAAATCAAGCAGCTCTCCTAGATCCCTCCTCTGTCCAGGACCATAACCCATGGGATTCTTCCAAGCAGATCCCCAAAGAGCCCCAATTCTGCTCTCCTCAAGTCCAGGGTTGTGGTCCTGCTTTTTGCACTGCTGTCTCCTCTCTGGATCCTGAGCTCAAACACTACATGGTGACTGCAACCAAGGCTGCCCCTGAACTTCACATCCACCACCAATTCTTCCTCATTTGCAAGCAGGAGGTCCAGCTCATCAGTCGCTTGTGTCAGGAAGTTTACATCAGTACACTCCAGGGAACCGCTTGATTGCTTGTGCCCTGCTATGCCCTGCCAACAGACATTTGTCACGGTTCAAATGCACCATGAGGACCAGGGCCAGTGAACATGGGGCTTCTTCCAGGTGTCTGAAGAAGGCCTCGGCTGCTTCTTCTTCCTGATCAAGTGATCTGTAGTAGCCACCCACCACACTGTCACCCAGGCTGATCTGCTCTAATCCTGACTCAGAGGCTATCACCTGGCTCATCGTACAGCCCAAAGCAGAGCTCCATGAATCCCAGCTGTTCTCTCACAGAAAGGGCAATTCTCCTTCCTTGCCTTCCCAGCCTGTCTTTCCTAAACAGCCTGGCTCCGCCCACTACAGTACTTCTGTAAGCTACCGCACCACGTCTCTGTGATCCCATAGCTCTGCAACAAGATTGCAGAGTTAAAGGTGGGCCATGTTGGAGAAGAACCTAGGCAATGTGCACTAACCTGCCTTTTACCATGCATTTCAGGTCTTGTGTTATGTGAGCTATCCCACCACATCTCTATGTTGTCAATGAGATCATAGCCCTGCAACTACTAGTGGAGCTCTAATTTCTTTTGTTTGCTCCTCATACTGCATGTGTTTGTACACTGGCACTTTAAAGAAGCATTTAGCCATGCTAATTTCCCAGAAACTGTCTGAGGGGTTTCTTTTTCCCCACAGATACTACCTTATTTATGTACACACAGTTGAAGTGCACCCTTTTCAGACTTTTTTTTTTTTTTGTTATTATGAAGTCTGTCCTGTTCACATCACTCCTCATGTTTTGCACAACCCCTTCCCACCACTTTCTCACTTGATTATTGATCACCCTCTTCCTCCCCTGTTGATCCTAGTTTAAAGCTCTTCTTACCAGGGTGGCCAGCCTGTTTGCAAAAATGTTTTTGTCTCATTTACTCAGGTGGATCCCAGCTCTCCTCAAAAGTCCTCAACCCTCAAAAAAGGTCCCATGGTCATAGAAACCAAGTCTATTTTGTCAATGACAGCTGTGCAACCAACTGTTGAGCAGCAGGATCCATCCATCTCACCACCCTCCCCCTCACCAGCAGAGTCAAAGACAAACCCACCTGGGCCCACATGCCTTTGACCATTACCCACAGAGCCTGCTTGCTACTTTCCAGGATTGCCCTGGCAGTATCTTTAATACCCACATGGGAGAGCAGCAAGAGGTAATAGTCTGTGGGTGTAATAAGTTCTGTAAGTCTTTTAACAATGTCACCAATCCAAGTCCATGGCAAGGAGTAAAGCTCCTTAGATGACAGCTCTAGCTGTCAGAGAGGGCTTCTGTTCCTTGCAACAGGGAGTCTTCCATTACTAACACTCATCACTTTTTCTGGTGTTTCTATGTGGCTCATGGCCAATGGGCTCAGACACCTTGTCTGACAAGCTCCCAACTCCTCATTTTCTATGACAGCACTGAATCTATTCCCTAGTTGCAAATCCCCAGGTAAAGCAAGAGCCTTCCTCTTGGTTCCAGCAGTCACAAGCTTCCAGCCTTTGTCACGATGGGAACCTTCATTTCCCATCCTTATGGGCACAGACTCAACCTGCCTCTCCTTTGTTAGAAAAGGGAGAAGTGGGCTATTGAAGCTGCAGAGTCTCAGAAACTGAGTCCTTCTCTTGCTGTCAAGATCCAGATAGTGTTAATGATGCAGAAATTGATCATCATGAAGGATTTGGTCAATCTGCAACAACTCCTTTACTCTTTAATAGCCAATTTCAAGGGTACAGCGTCTCTACCTAACAGAGAACGATCATTTTGCCTACTTTCTTATCTTATTTAAAACAGCATAAAGACTTTCTAAGGCACCAAATGACCTCTAGACATCAACAAGAGCCCAGATGAGACACATTTCTCATGATCCTAAGCAATGAAACCAAATTCAAGGTGAAAAAATAGGCAGCTTCCTGAGCCCAGAAGAATTTTCATAAATGCTTTGATATAGCACTAAAAGTACTGATTTTTTTTTTTTTTCCTACTTTCTATCCAGATTGACTCTATAAGATTTTTCGGAGTTTTCCTGTAATCCCCAAGTTTTCACCTATAGTTCAACATTTTTGTTATTATTTTAGACCGTTATTTGAAAGCCATATCATGTTTCTTCATGTGGTATGTTGGGTCAGAAACCACTTGAGAAGTCATGTGACTGCCTGTATAATCCAAAATTCTGTGTAGTGAAAAAGAAGGAAGAGATAGTTTTTGTAATGAAATATATCACTGTGTTTGGGGGTTGGAGTATCACAGTGGTATAAACAACATAGGGCTCTGTACAAAAACCCCAAGAAACAAAAATGAAAATATATTTGGGGGAAGAAAGGAGAGAGATGACTGGAATAATTAAGGAAACAAATACAACATTCTTTTTGCATTTCTATTTATTCTGGAAATATAGAGCTCAGGAT